ACTGGATTTAAGATGATATTGTTTTGAAATTTTAAATTATAACATTTCATCCTGTCTATTAAGCGTACTTATATTTTGGTGCAGTGTCAACAATTGTTTATTTTTTCTTTACTTGCTAAAGTTATAATGACCCCACGATATTTTTGCTGTAATTGACATTTGTATTGTTATCGTTAAAATAGATTCAAGCATAAAATTATGTGTTTTTAAATGACTGTCATTCAAAGAATAAACTGTAAAGGTTCAGAAAACGAAGCTCTTTAATTTAATTGGCTACACATATATAGCAAAGGAGCATCATTCGGATGTGATTTTCTACGGTGTAAGTACCGTCGCTTGCTCAATTATTTCTCAAAACCTGTTACACGACATTAATTTAATCGCGAATATATGTAGCAATAATAAATAATTATTTTTACGCATTACTTTTTTTAATTTCCAGACCAGACTATATCTCATTTTCTTCCCATCCTTAGTGCGAGATTCATGTTTTCTAATGTAATGTACCGATTTTCAAAGCACGTGACTCCACTATCCCACCATATCCTATTACGCACGGGATGAAACTAGAGTGTTTTGGAGAAAAATCATACGTGTATGGACGACCATATTCCTATATGTATGTATGTATGTATGTACCACCGATCACGTAGATCAAGTCAATAAATATCGAGGAAATGGTGTATCATAGATAACCGATCGTGATCGGCACCCAGTGCTTCTTGAAATTTTGATAAACAATTATTTATCAACTATATGCTCTACGTCTTTATCGTGTACATGGTATGGTACAACCACGAAACCACTCTGATGTCACACCAAAGGACAACATATGAAAAAAAAAAAAAAAAAAAAATCGAAGAGCCCGGATCGGCGGTAAGAACCGACGAATAAGTAAAAAATCAGTTTCATCAATTTCAGCTTGCAACAACATTGCAGCTAATCGGCTTTTTTTTCATTGATTTTCGCAAATACATGTGCGTGAACACGATATTATAAAAAAAAAAAAGTCGAGGCAATAAACGCAAAGAGAAGAAGAGACCGAAAGGAAATAAGAGAAGCCCGGATAGCGAAAGAAAAAAAAAAGAGAGAGAGAAGGTCGGGGACATGGATTGAGTGGACGGAAGGGTGGCGGGAGGTAAAGTACGAACTTTGCTGTTTAAAAATTCAAGGGGTAGAATCAAGTGAAGCATATAATGCCTGCATATATAGCAGCGATTTTTCATTCACGCGGATGGAGTGTATACACTATACCCACGCGCTAACGACGAACACTCGCGCAGGAAGGCAGAGATTTTTCTCCTGGTTATAATTTATTCACGACGGCAGCTAAGCAATCGCTTAAGAGTCGGATTTGTCATCCTCTTCCAACACAGCTCTCATCAGCCCACTCTTCGCCCACGGCTATGATTATTTTTTCAATCTGGCGTTAAGGTGATGAACGAGTCCGACGTTACTTATCTATGCGTTATTCAGGATCATCCGTCTTGTTTCACCACGAAAGTTTAAAACTCGATTTGTTGCTCAGCCGTTGACGTAGCGCTTGATTTATCTGGACCACTTCTTCAACCCTTTTTCCTCATTAAATTCATCTATAACATTATTATTATGCCACATGTTTTAACACACTCGCTAATTTTATGCATACGGTATTTCGGAACAGTACCCTCTACCTGGAAATACTAAGACTAACGTTACCCCTTCCGTCAACTTTTTTCCATTTTTCATTACCGAGTCTTTCCAAAACAACAAGGTATTATCATTCAAAATACATACGTATTAGGTGGATTGTAAAAAAACTACATTGGACGCGTACTTTTATTCGTTTCGACGGTACAAAATGTAATGTTTCGTTAAAGCGAAGATTTTTCCTTATCAGGTGATTATTTCTCCGAAAGTACATACCTATAGGTGGCACTGTGCGGACAAACAGCTACCGTAAAAAACGTTCACACCCTCGTTCCGGCAGACCGAAGCTTCCGTTCCATCTTTGTGCCACCAACTCTTTCACTTAGCTTGGCATTCGGCCATCGTTCCAAGGCCCCATCCCGTCAACTACGAGTCCGGGACCCATTAGGCGAGCCCACACTTTTCCCACCCCTGGGGTGAATTTTTGATAAAAAGAAAAAACTCGCCGCGTCACGTGTGAATGGAAAATACATATATATATATATTTTTTTTTGTTTTTGCTCGCCATCGTCATTACCTTCGTTCTCGATTGTTCGAAAACAATGCACATCATTTATACACACGGGGAACGAATGGTTGGTCTCTGTATTCGCACTCTACCCCTTCGCATGCAAAAATCGAAAGGAAAAAAAACGTCTAGAGAAGGAGAGAGTGTGGGGGGGTGGGAGAGATCGTCTTCCTCGTTAAGTCGCGCGTATAAAAAACAACGGGAGCATAAAAGATAACGAGCGCGCGTGAATGTGTACGTGGTTTCCGAGAAGAATCTCAACCGCATCTCTCGCAGAGACACATCCAAGTTTTTTTTTTATTTATTTACGCAAATTTCCACGCGCTCTTGTAAAAAAAAAAAAAAAAAAAAAAAAAAGATACGATCTCGGATTACCGCGTGTTTCACAGCCATTAGCGCGCGATCGTGCGTGTGTGTCGTACAGTGGCGTTGTTACGCCAGTTTAGGCAATTGCTCCGATCGCGCGAGACGTAATCGTCAATTTTCTCGAATCGCTCGGGTGTCGCTGTTGGCGCGTTTCTGTAACATTAATTGCACGCACGAATATACGTATGCGCTTCTTCTCTACTCTCACATTCCTTCCACTCTCTCTTTCTTTTGTAAAAAAAGTTAGCTTTCCTCTCACTTCCTCCCTATCGCTCCGTATAGGCTATGGGTGGTACGGTTCAAGTACCACCGATAAAAATCACGACTCGCTTCGATTTGTGTAGGTAGTATATTGTTGAAAAAAAAAAAAAAGTTTATCCCCAAGTGGTGTATGTACATGCGACGTCTCGAAATTTAATGTGTACAACCATATAGCTGTACCATGTATCGGAAGGAAATTCATTTTTACGTCTTCGATGTTGTATTCATATACATATGTAAAACGCTATAAAAAACAAAACAAAAAAAAATAGAGATATATAGGTATTGACAACGAGTTACAGTCCCTGTATCTACAGCACGCACCCCACCACCACCACCAGATGCAATTACTATATACCTTATAATCACACTATTACATGCTTTGTCGAGCACAGTACCATATGTATTATATATACTGTACTTATAGGTACGAGCATATAATTATAATCTTATCAATCCGAAGCATCTGTCTCTCTCTCTTTCTCTTACACGCACACCTGCTATCCTCTGTCTCTACACCATCACCTTCTCTCTCTCTCTCTCTTCTCTCGACTCTCTCTGCTTCTCACGTGCCACGCGTACTACCCCCTTATACATGTACACTTATACACCGCTGTGACATTATTATATTTACACTTCGGTATCCACTCCACTGTTGATGTATGTGTACGCACGTCTCTATATATTAAACGTATACAAACTGTACCGATGCAATTGAAATTAAAAAAAAAGCAATAGAATAGGCATACATATATTACACATGTATACTATAGATGCAAAAAGGACACATAGATATACATATAGATAGATGTAATCATTTTATACGTGTATATATACGCGTATTTTTGCATATTGTGACCCAATAAGTGTGTCTGTGTGAATTAAATGGATAGAAAAAATAAAATAAAATAAAATAAAAC